GTATATATATATACATATATATATATATATATATATATATATATATATATATATGTAGGGTGGCCGGAGTCAATCGCATCACCCGTCGCGTGCAGATAGAGTGGGTTAAACTGAGTAGGAAAATCCTTCACCATTTTGCGATTTTTGCAATAATTATTGAGAAATTAATTAAAAAAGATCGACCAATTCGCGTGAGTATAAGCGCGCAGTAAAAAGGGACAACACATTAATATGTGGTTGCTAAGACGCGAGAATCTATCGTTATGTGCCATTCTCGTACGTAACCGTTGTCATTTGTAGAGCGCTCTTCCCAAAACCTCGTCGCGCGCCTAGCGACCGCAAACTTTTGGATTGTCTCTGGGTCGTCCTTTCTCGCCGCGCGTTTATACTTACGCGAATTGGTCGATCTTTTTTAATTAATTTCTCAATAATTATTACGGAAGTCGCAAAATGGTAAAGGACTTTCCTACTCAGTTTAACCTGCTCTATCTGCACACAACGAGTGATGCGATTGACTCCGGACACCCTGTATATATAATATATACAAATACAAAATGTGTGCATATTTGGTATATTATATTAATTATTAGATATTTGTTAGTATTTTTCTAAATCTCACTAAAATTATCGTTTGTGATAATTACAGCAAATAGATGTAATGTTTCTTATACTCTTTGGAAGCTATTGTACAATATTTTAAGGATTGTGATTATTTCATACTTTTTATATAAGATGGTTACAACAATTTCGTTATTAATTAAACATTATCAGAGTGTCTACTAAAACCTGGATTTCTCAGAGATTTTTTTTGTACTTGGAAAAATCAGGGTATTTTCATGGAATTTTATTGGGAGACGGGGAATTTTTAAAAAAATTGTCTCTGATAATTTTGCTCTCATATTGCAAACAGTCGACAAAACAAGTGAATTATGCGTTTAAAATATATTTTAAATATATATTTATCTCTGTGTTTATATATTCAATGTCTTAACGAAATATTGAATATGCAAGTAAAAAAATGTTTATCTTACGAAAACTCAGTTTTTTTCAGTACAAATATACAAATCTAGCTTGTAACTTGAGAGGCTTTACGTTTTTCTTATGTTTTCTTATGAGTGAAAAAAACATTAGAATACATGCAATAAAAAAATTTATAAGTTAAGAAGTTAATAAGGCTCTAATGTGAAAATCATAACTTTGAATCTTTGCGGGCCACTGAAGAAGCGTAGGCGTGAAAAAAATTTATGTTAGAAAGTTGCACCAAAAAATCTTTAAAATATTTTCTTTACCTGGAATTTGGAACAAAAATACGCAATACGAAATATAATGTTTTCGATACAATCTTAATAACAAAAAAAAAAAATACGGTTTTTATCGTACAGTTTATATGTATATTGAAGCCAAGGCGACGCGAAAAGAGAATCAAATGAAAGAATTGAATCCGTTGACACTACCGAGTCTACCGAGTCTCTTTCTGACGAAAAATAGATATAAAAGAAAATCGTAATTCTAATGACGCCCATTTAGGCATCTTACGTGCGCACGTTTATGTATGACGTAGCATGTTTACGGTGTTGCGTTAAAATTCGAAAGGCATGATATAACGCGCGCGAAACGCGCAATCCGCCGTATACTTTCACCAAAACCGGTAAGAGCGCGGTGTGTATGAATATAATCACCATCTTCTCGCTATATTTTCGACAAGGCCTTGACTTGGTTTCTTTCGTCACGTAGAGCGACGTGGATTTCAATGTGATCGACGGCGACGATCCGGTTAGCGCGCTTTCACCGGCAAATTTGTCTGCCGAAGAAATATCAAAAACGCGCGCGCGCGCACGAGGAGAAAGAGAGGCACCTCATATTATCCATCTGTTGTAAGGCAACAATGATGCAACTTGCAGTGCGTACAGTAGCAGAGTCATAGTCACACACTTTCTCTTTTTGATGCTCTTATTGAGGGACCAAAGCGGATACTCTTCCCGTGGTGGAAGTCTGATGGCGGCAACGCAACCACCGAATTCCGCGGATGCGCGAAAAGAGCCTTCGCAAAAAAAAAAAGTAAAAAACGATTCTTTCGGAATAGTGTATGATATACCCTACACACACATGCGCGCGACGTTTCTCATATTTTGCCGTACAATTATTTAGTAGAAATTTTTTTATCGCGCATTTCGCGTGTTTTAGAAAGTGCAAAGAGACAAGATGACAACCTTGTCATCTAACTAAAGCTGTCGGACTAACTATAGCTTACCGGAGAATTGAGTATCTCGAGCAACCGTTGTTTAGGATCCTTGCCCTTCTTCAATCTGATGAGCATGTAAATTTGCGCTATTTCGGGCAGGCATCGCAGAAATTTCTCGAGAATCACTTTTCCTAAAAATCCCGTGCCACCTGTCAGCATTATCTTACGACCAGCGAAAGTCTCGACTATTCTGTCCGGTGCGTCGGCGCTATCGAGTTCGCCTGGCTCCATTGTGATCAAAGAACTACTTTTCTAAAAAGAAATATATATATTTTTTTAGAAAAATTTGTTACGCAGAGGGACGTATCTTCCACATCACATCATCCTTACGCCAAGTCGTATACGTACGACTAGGTTGCTAGATGAAATAGAAAATGACTATTCACGTTGCGGAAAGCATTAATAAAGTACTGATATCACGTGATGCATAATTATACATACATTATGACAACAATGCGCGTTTGCCTCATTTAGTAGAACA